CCAAAATTCATTTTATCCACCATTCGTAATAAAAATTGCCAGTCCAACTTGTCAAAGGCCTTTTCAGCATCCAGGAAGATAAGAGCCGCCGGGATTTGATTATTTTTATCCAGATATTCCAACAAATTTACAATTTGTCTGACATTATTCTTCATATATCTACCATTTATAAATCCAGACTGATCCACATGAATAATCCATTTCAATACTTGCATTAGTCTATTAGCCAGGATTTTTGCAAAAATCTTATAATCCGTATTCAATAAAGATATTGGCCTATAATTTTTAGGCTGAGTCAAATCTTGATCCTCTTTTGGTATAAGTGAAATAAATGCACACCTCCAAGATGGTGGTACTTCTTCTCCTAACAAAATACTATTAAAAAGACATCTCAAAGGTTCTAACATTTCTTCAGACAACATTTTATAATAAATTGCCGTTAGCCCATCTGTACCAGGGGCCTTACCAACCTTCAATTGTTTAATTACCTCTATGATCTCATCCAGCACAATCGGACAATTCATCATTCCTTTTTGATCATCTGAAAGTCTAGGAAAGTTTACTTGTTGGAGATAACTATCTATTTCAGAAGTTTGTATATTCTTGGAGGCATATAATTTTGAGAAGTATTCCGAAAAAGCCTTTTTAATCAAATCTTGCTGGAAAACCTCTTTATCTTTATAATTTATTTTCTCAATAATTCTTTGTTTTTGTTTCTTTCGTAATTGATAAGCTAACCACCTTCCAGGTTTGTCTGCGTTACAGAATGTATTATGTTTCATGTATCTCAAGTTAACTGCCATTTGATCGGCCAGTAACATGTTAAATTGTTCTTTCAGCATTGCAATAGATACCCTTTAAGTTATTATCTATTGGATTTAAGGAGAAAGCTCTCTCTTTTATTTTTATCTCTTGTTCTAGATCCCTATGCCTTTGTAACTGCTTTCGCCTATGGGCAGTATTCATTGAAATTAAAGCACCTCTCATAAATACTTTGCTTGCATCCCATACCATTGATATAGAAGTGCCTTTATTCATATTCAACATAAAAAAGTCTTTTAAGTGATCTTTAAGTTTCTGTACATTAGTTTCATATTTTAATAAATTCTCATTTAATCTCCAAGTCCTTTTACTTCCACCATCAATTAAAAATTCCATCCATACAGGACTATGATCTGATAAAGTCCTAGGAAAAATCTTCACTTTTTTAACCTTAGGGATTAAGTCACTAGTAATCAAAATAAAATCAATTCTAGAATGAGATTGATGTCTATCTGAAAAAAAAGTAAAATCACTTTCTCCTATATTCCAATCTCGCCATATATCTTTTAACTCCAAATCCTCTTGCAATGCAAAAAAACTTTTAGGCAATTTAGTTTAAGTTGAAGCTTTAGAAAAAGTCTTTTTATCTTTGTTAGGGTCTATTACACCATTCCAATCTCCCATCATAATAACAGATTTATAATCCAATTAAGTTATCTTCTGATGTAGAAGAATGTAAAATTGTTTCTGCTGCTGATATTGGTTAGGTGCATATATGCCAACAATAAGACATTCTTATCCATTTTTGTTAATATTTTTGGCACAATGTTATCATAACTTGAAGAAAAAACCAAGGATGTATATACAGTATCTTCAGTAAGAAACTTACAATAACAAGGATAAGAGTTGTATTTTTTTTAACAAAATGCAGATGGAAAAATATTTAGATACGGTAATATCTTTCGCAAATCTTTCATTTGGGCTAAATTATAAGATATTAACTACTTTTCAGTTAAATAATATTTCTCAGATATACAACATGCGTAAAAATCTAACAATCTTTGAAATATTTAAGGGACTTTTCTTTGGTTATTGCTATTGTTATTGTCTAAGGCGGTGTTTCTCAAGCTTGGCAGCTTAAGATATATGGATTTTAACTCCAAGAATTCCTCACTCCACACATCATAAATATTGCCAAGCTTGATTGGTCTAAGTTAGATGAGATCTTGCTTAACTTACATCACAATCATTAGTCTATCGTAGTGGTGGCAAACCTATGGCACGCATGCCAGAGGCGGCACTCGGAGCCCTCTCTGTGGGCACACATGCCATTGCCCCAGCCTCGTCTCCCCCATGACCCCCTCCTCACCAGCAGCCCCCCTGGAGGAGAGTCGCCCCCGAGCGTGGCCCACACGGAGCAGCGCAGCCAAGGACATGGCAGCCAGGCAGCGTAGACAAGACTGCCCTCACGCCCCATCGCGCAGTTGGCATGGCAGCCATGGCACTGTTGGGCTACCTGGGCAATCTGCAGTGGGCCCTGGAGGTGGTGAGTGGCCCTGCGGGCAGGCGGGGTGGGGCGGGAGCGGGGCAGGGGGTGGAACGGGGGTGGGGCCAGTTTTGGGGCACTCAGTCTCTAAAAGGTTCGCCATCACTGGTCTATCGTCTTCTCACAGCCTCATTTTGAATCTCCCAGAGTGTCCTCAGAGCTTGAGGGGGGGGGAGGAGACAGTTTTCAGAAATAAAAGGCCTCTACTCATTTTCACTGCTTGACTTCTTTCATCCCAATCAAAATGATTTTCCTTTGTGGGAATCAAGATGCAAAAGAAAATTTGCTGTCCTTTCAGCCCTGACAAAATAAAAAGAAAAATTTAATTATGTTCATTCTAGTGTTATTTTGCCACACCTCTTTGACCCTCACATTTCCCTTTCCAGAGGTGTGATCTCTGGTTTAAGGTTGTTTAATCTCATTTATACAGAAGTAAAAACAATTTCATCTCATTTTATCAAAGAAGACTGACAATGTTTGTTAACCTGGCTCATTGATTACTATTTAAACAATTTTAAAAAATATGATCAGCAAAACAGCTCATATAAAGTCATGACTAAGACTAGTGGAAGTTTGAAGGATAGTTCTCTCACTCATACATATTTTAACTTTTTTCTAAGTGGTGGACATAAAATGTAAAATGAGTTTTAATTTGAACCCAGAAGTTCTCTTGAACTGTTTTGGAGCGGCAGTGGTTTTTGCAGAAGCAAAAAGCAAACCATTTTGGTTGTTTTGGCTTTTAGTTGGAAAATAAAATCCAGTGAAATCATAGAATAATTTTTATAGCACCAGTAGAATAAAGCTGATGTGCCTCACCACAATTTTCTCTTTTAACATGAAATTGTTGCTAATTTAGGTGCCCTAACCATTTTACTCACCATCTAACAAGAAGGGGATCCCTGTCAGTGGGATTCAGATTCTCAGGAAGTCTTAAGCTTCTATTCAGACATCTTGCCTTTGTTGTAAAGACAGCTACTTTTGATTTTGTGTCCAGAGTTCTTATACAATCTGCTTTAGATTTTGAGAACTGCCTCTTCTATTGTGAATTCTTTTTTTTCTGGCAAATCATTTCAGCTGATGATGATTTTAAAAAAGGCTATTAGCCATCAAACTGGATGCCAAGTTTATTGGACTATATCCTATTCTTGTACAGATTAGTCCTGTAGCCTTTCATTTGTAGCTGCCACATGCATTAAGAGTACATCCAGTTTTCGACTATTCCATCCTGAGCTGGAACAGCTGCATTGGCCTGTGTGTATTTCTGCCCACTATGCTCCCATCTCACAGTTGAAATTGAGAGGAAGAATTTGAGGTGAAGCATATTTTGGATTATTGGTGCAGATTATAGTAATTGGTTCCTTGGAAGGGCTGCCAAGACATGAAAAGAACCTGTGCCCCTTTTAGCCTCCTTAAACAATTCCATATGCTGAACCTCACAGTTCCCAAAATATAAATAAAAGGCTGAGTTTCATATAATCAGAAAAGATGTACCTGAGACCTCTAGGCTAATGAGTAAGGAAGGAAAAATTAGGGAAGGTGTGTAAGGGCAGTGGGGTGGGAATGGCATTATTTAGATCAAAGAAAGGCATTGTGTAAATATTGAGAAGATCTGATATTGTAAGGACATCCATTTCCCAGAGCTTTTGTTTTATGCCTGCCTGCTTCACTTGAAAGACTCTTGGTGATATACAACTTATTTTTAATTTTTTTTATTGTTATTATAATATTGTTTTTATTTTGCTATTAATATAATTACTGTTCCAATTATGCAATCAAGTTACGGGGACCATTAGAATGTAGAAAATGCTATATTTTGCAAATTGTGGCCTGTCTTACAAATCTTATATTATGATGATGGTTATAAACATATTTGTTTATATAAATTGACTGTAGACTTAGTAGTTCCATGTTCCCCTATGTTCTTTACGAAGAAGCACTGTCATCTGTACTCCCCTTCAGTTGTTCTTTTTAATTCTTTCCTGGCACTCTCTTGTTGGCAGATAGTAATTTTTCCATTATTACCTATCAATTATGGCTTGAAGGACTAAGAAGAACAAAAATTATCTGGGTAATATTTTCAGCTACTGTAGGTTGCTGGAGTCTGTTTGTGCCATCCATTTTAATCTTGTGGCTAAGAACTACCAGATCTGGGCTGCAAAACAATGACCACAAAATAGCAGAAACAAGATAAAGAAAATGATCAACAACTCATCTGATAGTGTGTTTAGATTTTTGCAGCCCAGATCTGGTAGCCTAACTCCAGTTAGACAACAAGATAAAACATATCTCTTTGGTGCCCTTGTTCAATAATATTCATTCTGTTTTTATTAAAGTAATTTAACCTTTCATTAAGTTAAAAATTCTTGAATATTTTCCATCTTTATTCTGTCAAAGAAGAAATAATGTAATTGTTGATGCAGACTAATTAACACATGGCAATTTGAAGACAATCTTATTTTGTTCTACTTAGGGTTGGAAATGGCACAGTCCATCTTGTTATTGGCTGGGGGATGACCATGTGATATACAATGAAGCTCGGAAAATGTGCATGGATTTTGGCTCTGCCCTGGTTATTATCACCAACAGGTATGTGTCCCGTCATAAGTCACTAAAAGGACTTTTTGTATTGTGGCATTTTAAAAAATATTCGGGAGACGTCCGGTTTGCTGCGCAGCCGCCATGGATGGCTGGGAGACTTGCTCTCTCTCCCCCATTCAGTTTCGGATCACTGGGGACCCCTGAAAAGGGCCGAAAGTCACCCCGAAGAAGCGACCAGCAAGGAGGGGCTCTCGCTGGATCGCAACTCTCCCGTTGGAGCTGGCGATCTCCTCCAAATTGGCGGACAAAAGGACTGGCCATAGAAATATGGCTCGTCCCTAGGCTGCAGACAGCCGAAGTCACACTACCATCTGGCAACTTCAAAGCAGCATGGAAAGGACTGAGTGAGATCTACCTCTCTTAAATCCTAATTGCTTTTTTGTACCTATTCAAGCTGCTAAAGTACTTTCCCCCTGTGGAGAGGGAAGGGGGATTTTAGCCCTCCCTCTAGAAACAACGGCGATTGAATAGACAGGGGAGTTTTGAAAACATTGAAAAAATAATTGGATCCCAATTGGAACTTTATTTCCTAAAGCTTGTGGATTAAAAGATTTTTGATTATCTACTTTTTACTTTCTATTTTTATTTGAAAGTCTGGGTTTTTCCTCTTAAAATAGAAGAAAAAAACCAAAAGGATTAAAATAACTTTGAGATTTAAAGGAATTCCTTAAACAATGGGGTGACATCGTGTGGCTAAACCTGAAATTGCAATTTATTATTCTTAAAGAAAAGAGACTTGGCTGACAGTTCAGAAAACAAGATAAGATTCATGTGACCTTGAACACCAGCTGTGAGACTTTTAGCTCTGTTTCTTATTTACTGGGTGAAAAAAAACTGTAAAAGTTTTCAGTTCAACTCATCACTATGGAAGACCAGGAACAGACCTTTTTTATTGAAGAAATGCAAAAACAAATTTTTGCTATATTGAAAATAACTTACCAAACTCTTCTTGCAGCTGGTGATGAAATAAGAGCTTTCGGGGAAAAACCAGAAAGTGTCTTAGATATGCAAACTCAGACTTTGACTACAACTAAAAACCTATCTATACAGAATACAACAGAAAAAATTGAACAATTAAATATTATCACAGAAGACCTAATTGCCCAACAAGTACATACAATAGAAATTTCAGAAAAAAATCTGACAACTTGGATGCTATATAAATCAGAAGGAATCTGAAGATCAAGAAGAGAAACAGATGGAAGAAAAGATAAACAGTTCAGGACAATTACATCAAGAGCAGAAAATAAAGAGATGATCTGGTAGTCCTGCCAGACCCTTCAGCCTTCCAAAAATGGCGACTGGATGGTCATCTCAATATGACATAATATATACAATAATACAGAATTCTTTGAGGACTCTTTGAAGATGATTTGGCAAGAAAAAAAGCCAGAATAAGACTGAAGAAGAATGGAGTGTGGACATATTTAGGAGGTTTAAAATAGAATATATTTAAGTAGACAAGATCCGTATTTTGAATATGAGATATTGTTATGATGTGAAGATAAAGAAAAATGTTGGCTAATTAAAACCTAGATGCATACATATCAACAGTTAAATTGAAATATTCAGTTGTTTATAAAGGTTAGATAAAGGTGATTAAGACATATATATGTTAAGAGTGATGTAACATAATTAACATGTTTTGATGTAGTGATAAGAATAAAAATTATAAGCTTAAATATGAGAAAGTGGACATAAGGAAGAATACTAAAATGGGAGAAATTTTGGTTATTGAATCTATAATATTTGGAAATTATAATGAAAATAAGAATATTATATTGTATTACTAATCTGTTGATATAGAAGTGAGATAGATATGTATTCGGAACTCTAGATGTTGGGGGGAATTGTGACAAAGGGAATTGAGGTCATTTAAAAATTTGGAAATGATAAATATTAAACGTTTAATTTAAATATCACTGCAAAATTAAACCTGGGAAAATTCATAAGTTTATTGATGGTCCAAAAGATGAAATCTTAAAATAAATAAGACATATAAAATTATTGATAAATATAAGAAAGCTATTAAGTAGCTGATGGATAGAATAAGAAGTATACTAATTTAAAAAAGAGACAGTATGTATTAAGGGGAAAAAAAGAAGAAATATTGGCTGTAATAGTTGGAGATTTGTATTAATAATATTTGTATGTAATGGAATTATTATAACTCAGATACCACATTGCTTTTCAAAGATATAATTGTAACATTGGAAAATTAATAAAAAGTTTTTAAAAAATATTTGGGTATTGGTGATATTGGCTTCTGGATGCTCCAGTTAAAGCTTTCAAAGTAATTACCCATTGTCTTCTTGGTTGAATACATGCTACTTGGATGCCAGTGATAGTAGCAAAATGGTAGAACCTCTGGAGAAAGATTAGGGTTGGAGAAAGAAGTGAGGAAATGATGGATTTGTTCCTTTTTTCCTGAACTAGATTTGAACAGGCCTATGTGAGCAGCCTCATCTATGGCTGGGAGGATGAATATTTCTGGACTGCATTACAAGACATAAATGAAACTGGTTCTTTCCATTGGTTGAGTGGAGATGAAGTCACTTACACCCACTGGAACCGCAACCAACCTGGTAAAAGTTTATATCATGTTCTAAATCATAAGAGTAAAAGTATATACACTCATATACTTTGTTATAAGAACTGTATATAAACAAAAAAACTCTGATTTTTGTATTTATATTATGGGATATATCAATATACAGTGGCCTTTCAGAAAAAAAATTCTTGTGATTTGCTTTATTAAACATTATTTACATGAATCAGCAATGAAAATGTTCATATTAAGAATGATTAAGAAATGGATATTACCTATTATTTTAAGGGTCAGTATCTTATTGAATTACAATATATCTCCATTTGAAATACTGTGCATAGTTCTGGTTATATTATTTCAAAACCTTCCCTATGAAACATCTTCTACAGGGAAATTCTTAGGATTTCATGGGGTTATATAATATGCTGCATGATTGGTGACATCTCCTTCATAGATTATGATCAGTTCATTTATTCCTGTACCTGAGAGCAAAAATATTCAGGATTTCATTATGGCCCCATGGTATTCTGCACACATCAGTGTCTTTAGAAAAATGACTTTTGATATCATCGATCACAGTATCCTTTTGGACTGGCTGCGGGATTTAGGATTGAGTGGGTGTGCAGTGTTCCACCGATTTGGTTCCTTTCTCTGTAGCCAGTTCCAATCGATGCTGATGGGGGCAAAAGATCAAGCTCCTATGTGGGGTGCCACAAGGCTCGGTACTCTCTCCTTTTTAACTGCTGGGTGAAGTAATCCAACACTATGGGTTGAGATATCATCAATATACTGATGATACTCAGCTTTATATCTCTATCCATGGTGACCCAAGTGATAGTGTGGTTGGCCTTTTGTGGTGCCTGGAAGTCATGGAAACCTTGTGAGAGACAACAGGCTTCAACTGAACCCTCTGTAAGACAGAGTGGCTGGCCATATGCAAAGTCTTGGGATCCAGAGGTTTATCATCTTTAGTTCTGAATAGGGTGGCACTTCATACTCAACTTGGGAGTTCTCCTAGGCTCATATCTCCTGCTTAAAGAGCAGGTAGCAGTTCTGGATAGGAGAGCCTTCTATGTCATGTGCCAGTTATGCTCTTTTCTGCATTGTGAGACTCTGTGATCAGTCACTCTTTCCCTGGTCATCTCCCGCTTGTATTACTGCAGTGCGCTGTACATGGGGCTACTCTTGAGGTTTATTTGGAAGCTACAGTTAGGGTTAGGGTTAGGATAATAATAAATGTTGTGCATCATCTCTCTTTCAAAATAATACTATGGAAATGGAGTCAAAGGAACAAGGAACATCTGGAATGAAAAAATAAAACAAAAAACTCCAGCATCTACCATGTATAAAATTCATCAGATGTACAATATTAACTACACTCTCTAGCCATCTTCCTATAAAAAGTTTGCAATTTCATTTCAGCTTGAATACACATTTGAGAAAATCAGAATGGTATTTGTGATTCAAGGAAGGAAAAAGGTCAGCTTTTGTAGGGGTAGCAATCTTGTAAGGTGGCATTGTGAGTCAGAAAGAAAATATTAACTTAAACCTTTTCTCTTGTGTATTTCCTCTTTCTCATGAACTTATTAGGTTATAACAAAGGTGGCTGTGTTGCTTTGGCCACAGGAAGTGCCATGGGCCTGTGGGAAGTAAAGAATTGCACTACATTCAAGGCCAAGTATATCTGCAGGCAGAATCTGGGGACACCAGTAAATCCTGAACTTCCTTCACCACATCCTACACCCAGCCTCACTGGCTCTTGTCCTTCAGGATGGACCAACCCCTCCAAGCTGAGATATTGCTATAAAGTAAGTCCTGAGTAAAGAATGGCAGCCAACTACTTTAGTGATTTGCAGTGATGCTTAAAAGTTTGAGAATCCCTCTGAATTTTCAATATTCCTGCATAAATATGAGCTAAAACATTCGTTCTCTACACAAGTTCTAAAATTAGATAGAGAACTCAAACAAATGAGTCAAAATATTAAACTTCTTATTTATTGAGGAAAATGATCCAAAGCTAGATATTTGTGTGTGGCAAAAATGTGAACCTTTGCTTTCAATAATTGGTGTGCCTTCCTTGCGCAGCAATGATTGCAACTAAATGTTTCCGATAACTGTTACCAGCCCTGCACATTGGCTTGGAGGAATTTTAGCCAATTCCTTCTTGCAGAACAAACTCAGAGATGTTGGTGGACTTTATCAGATGAACTGCCTGCTTCAAGTTCTTCCACATTTCTCTAGGATTAAGGTTAGGATTTCAACTTAGCTATTCCAAAGATTTATTTTCTTGTGTTTTAATCATTCTTTGGTTATATAACTTGTGTTTTGGGTTGTTGTTTTGTTGCATGACCCTCTTTCTTTTGAGCTTTATATACATATATCCTGACATTTTTCTACAGAATTAGTTGGTATAATTCAGAATTCATAGTTCTATCAATCCTGATCCAGAGGCAGCAAATTATCCCCAAACCATGATGCTACCATCACCAAATGGGATAAGGTTCTTATTCTAGAATATAGTGGGGTTTTTTTGCCAAACATAAAACTTTTCATTCAAGCCAAAAAGTTCTTGGTCTCATCTGTCCACAGGACATTCTTCCAATAGCCTTCTGGCTTATCCATGTGGTCTTTTGCAAACTAAATGAGCATCAGTATTTTTTTTGGAGACTAGTGGCTTTCTCCTTTTGACCCTACCATGTACACCATTGTTGTCCAGTGTTTTCTGATTGTGATCTCATAAATACTGACATCTGATTATCATCCCATTGACTGAAAAATGTGATTCTTAATTTCTCCTTCAAATGAACTGATAATCCTAGAAGTTCACATACTTTTGCCATACACAGATATGTAGCTTTGGATAATTTTCCTCAATAAATAAATGAACTGTCAGGTGCAAGAAATAAGGAATCAAGATAGAGTTCAAAAGTACTACAAGTTTATTTCATGCTACCTATTCACAAGAATCTGATCTACTAATCGTCAAGGCAAATTGATGCCAGGTAAAGGTCAATGGACTTCAAAGGGGACTGGATTTAGTTTCTTTTTTTATATATATATATATAACAAATGTTATTGGTTTTTTAACTTTTACAACAGAATGCTCAAGACACACCGTGGTGGTTAGGTAATCAATCATCCAAAAACAAAATCATATAATAGCTCAAGTAAATACATTAAATGTTCCCTCTCTATTTCCCTCAAATAATATAACCTATTTAACATAATCCATTTCTACATTACATATCTATAAATCCTAATCCTGTTTTGAACTTTATTAATTTACAGTTACCATAGTCCAATTTAATATTAGATAAATGTATTATCACTTCGGGTATTCCTTCTAAAATACTAATCCAGATATATTCTAATTCATAATCTCATAAATCATTGATTTTATCACAGATCTCTCTTATTTCTTCAGATAGCATTTAAATCTCATTCAAATAATTATTATGTCTAAAAAAAAACACCTATTATTACACAAAACATCGTCTTACTAACTTAACACACTCAATTAGTTGTTAAAGCAATCCGAATTTCTAAAAACCTCTTTCATATTCTTATTCTCATTCCATTACAAAATAATTTTCATACAAATAAACATATTATTCCAAAAAATACATTCTTACTCTGTTTAACATATATATTCTAATAATCACAAATTTTCAACTCTAAATCTTAGTCCTTAAATCAATCCATATTTCTCAAAACCTTTTTAAATCCATTACATATAATTTTAAATTTCTCTTTTTAGACTTATTCTGGCTTTCTTTTTATGCCAAGCAGGTTTCCATAACAAAGCCTCTATTTCAGCAAATAGATCTCCCATTATTGCTTGTAATGTCATTTGGGTCAGTAAAAGACCTCCCATCCTCTGTTTTTGACGCCTGGCTCCTGTCTGCTGAATAAAACACTCGATCATGTCCAATTTTATAATTAGTAGTTGATCATCAAAGTTGTCATAATTCTCCAACAATTGTAATTTCAAGTCCATTTCTGTTAGTTTTGCAATTGTAGATAGTTTAGTTACAATCATTTTTTGGTCATCCAAAGTCTCCATAAGTTGTATTTAAATTAATTCCTCTTCTATTGCTTTTTGGTCTGTAGAATGATCAAATAGATTCTGAAGGTCAGTTTGTAAGTTCACAGTAGAATTTCTGTTTATTATTTCTGCAGTTCTCTCTCTTATTTGGGAACATATTTCCTCAGTAGCTTCATAATTTTTTTCCAGTATGAGTTTACAGTTGAGTTGTGAATATGGTTTCTCCATTTCAGTAGTAACACAAACAAGAAACGGTTGCAGTTTTAAATTTCTCCACAGGATGTCCTCAGTAAACTATGAAAGTCTCTTCCAGACACCAAGAATGAGATTAGCAAAGTCAAAGAGCTATGGAATCTCTTTTCCGGCTTCTCATAGAGTTGTTGTTGTTGTTTTTCAAACAATAGAGATTTATCCCTTTAAAAAAATAAGTCCAAGACATAGGAAAACAATATTCTCCAGCTTAGAAGATATAATAATAAAGTTTTATGATAAGGATTTTTTCAGGGCCCCCAAGTAACCAAAAATAAAAATAGTCAATAAGAAGTTTTTTCCTTTGTTATGGAAAGCTCTTTTCCCCAGATAAACAAAGGCAGCTCTTTCAAAGCAGGGAAGTAATTCCAAAAGGCTTTTAACAGGAGAGTAGTTAGGCAAAGAGAGAGAGGGAAAAGTCTCAACGGGATCATCCACGATGGTTTCTTAATGCTTAGATGTTCTTTTGACTTTCGGCTGGAGCAGCTAAATGATCGGCCATGTTACTGGCCGATCTTTTCTCCGTCTGCCCTGAGGAGCTGCCTCGGACCGCGGAAGGAGCTGCCTCCTCCCCGCAATCAATGAGAGTCCTCCTCATCGGTAGTCACTCCTCCAAGTGTGACTTTTCGACCCGATTAAGGGTCTACCGGCAGAGGAAAAGCAGGTAACGAAGAGAGAGAGTCTCTTCGTGTGCCTGCACCCACTGCAACCCAAAACTGGAAGTCTGGATTTAGTTTCTTGTGAGGGCATAGAGCAGACATGTCAAACTCGCAACGTCACGTGATGTCGTGCAACGTATCAGGAAGGTTTTGCCATTGCCGGCAATGGGGTGGGTGCGGCTTCCGGATGACTCGTCCAGCCTGCGGGCCAGCAGTTTGACACCCTCAGGTTCAGTCTAGTCATCTCCTACATGAATAAGTTTAAATTTTTTAATTCATTTGTTTAACTGGGTTCTTTTTATCCAGTTTTGTAACTTTTTCGAAGAACAGATCACATTTTAGGTCATATTTATGCAAATATATATTGAACATTCTAAAGGGTTCAAAACTTTTAAGCATCACTGTATATTCAAAGGATTAAAGGCAAAGAGAATGATTTTAACTTGAACTGATCTTAGTGCAGCAGTTTTATAATTCAACATAAATGCTTGTGTAATACAGTGTGATACAGTAACAGCCTATTGGTTTGCAAGTCAGAGATCCTCTAGTTGTACAGAATACTGTGAAAATGTTTGTAATAAAAAAGGTGGTTTTGAAGATTACCTAGAAGCTGCAATTAGTGCAAAATATAGCAGGCAGCTTGTTGGAAGCAGGAATTGCTATTTAGGCACATTATAAACAATAGTACTGCTTTATACTGCTTTGGGAAGACTCCACTTTGAAGACTGCATCAGTTTTGTTCACTGTGATACAAAAAAGATATTGAGAGTGTAGGAAAGAGCAGCAAAGATGATTAGTGGGCTGGAGCTAAAACATATTAAGAACAGTTGCGAGAATTGGGTATGTTATATCTAGTGAAAAGGACCGGAGTGACATGATAGCAGTGTTCTAATAATTGAGGGCTGCCACAAAGAAGAGGAGGTTAACCTATTTACCAAAGCACCACAAGGGAGAACAAGAAGAAATGGATGAAAACTAATCAAGGAGAAAATCAACCTAGAACTAAGAAGAAATTTCCTGACAGTGAAACAATTAACCAGAGGAATGGCTTGCCTTCAGAAGTAGGGATGCTCTATCACTGGAGGTTTTTAAAAAGATTGGGTAGCCATTTGTCCAAAATGGTATGGGGTCTCCTGCTTGTGCAGGGAGTTGGACTAGAAGATCCCCAAAATCTTTTCCAACTTTGTTATTCTGTATTGCAAACCCTCATATGTTATCCATTGGTTTCTAACTACAGTTCAAAGTGCTGTTTTGCTTGGATCTTAGGCACCTTCCTAAAAATGTTCTTTGAGAAAACAACATAGAAAACCTCATTACAGAGTGGTTCAATGGGCAAAACATATAGATAATGCCTTTTCATTATGGAACATTTCCTGCTTGAGGTCTGCTGGCCTTCCAGAACCTAGTTCAAACAGTGCTTTTTCAGAAAATGTGGGGGGGGAATACTGTATTGCTGCCCTTGTTTTAGTACTGTTTATAAACTATCCATTCAACTATAATAGTATATAACAGTGATGGCGAACCTTTTAGAGACCGAGTGCCCATACTGCAACCCAAAACCCACTTATGCATCGTCGGATGCCGGGTGGGCGTGGCTGAGTGTGGCCCATTGGGTGGGCGTGGCTGCAGTGATAACGGCAGACTGGGTGGGACTAAAAAGTTCAATCAATCAATTCCAACTTTGCAAGATCTTTTTTTTCCCCGCGAGAAGTTGAAATTGACTGATTGATTGAACCTTTTTTTTTTTTTCACATGGCGGCGGAGGCCTAAAGCGAAAAGGTTTTATAAAACCCAGCTGAAGGCCTAGGACTGGGGCATTGGTGTGCGTGCCCACAGAGAGGGCTCTGAGTGCCGCCTCTGGCACCCGTGGTATAGGTTCGCCACCACTGGTATATAATAAAACAAAAAATAAATAAAAGTAAAATAAATATAGAAGATTGTGACTTGGAATGTAAGAGCAAAGGATGCCAGGTAATAAATGAACAGATGAGATGAAAGAAAGAGAAATTGATAAATTATGTAACTATGAACTGAGGAGAAAGGTAATGTATGTAATGTATGGATTTGTAGCTCTGTCACACATATTTACTGTAAATATGGTTTTTGTAAGTAAGAAAAAAAGCAAACGCCAATCAATATTGAAGGCTTTAGATAGAATAAAATGTGAGATTCACATTATCCTATCCCAGATACCAACCAGGTTATGAGAAAAACATGATGATCCTTTTGCATATTTATCAGATTCTGCCTTTGTTGAGTCTCCAGGAGAAGGAATATTATTCCAATGGAGCATTCTTCTTTAGCAGGATAGATTTCATTTTCCAGTGCAGTATTTGCATGAGACATATCCTGTCATATATTTCTAAAAAAAAAAGAAAAATCAGAGTCCGTCATGCTGGGATAATAACAGGGATAAATTTGTAAAATTACCCTTTTTCCTTAATTTTTGGACAGGTATTCAGCTATGATAAGCTGCAGGAAAAGAAAAATTGGATCACAGCACATTTGTTCTGTCAGGAATTAAAAGCACAGCTCTTGAGCTTGAGTGATTATGAGGAGGAACATTTTGTAGCCAACACCCTCAACAAGATTTTTGGGTGAGGAATAAATTAAGTACTTAAGTAATTTTGTGACTAATTAGAAAATGTATACTTGGAGTTACAGGCTTATATTCATTTGTGCATTCCTCTATGCTCTTGAATATATACATGCATTGATTGAGCATAAGGTAGTTTCATAAAGGCCCCAAAACATAACTTAAATTATGACAATATTTTTATTTGGGGCAAATAATCCGGGGAAATGAAGAAAATGAATTATTCCAATTTTTCTCAGCATCAAAAGCAAAATCAGACTATTTCTCTTAATTATGTCAAATGGATATTTTTCAGCTACGCAATCATCTCTTTCTTTTCCCCTTTGCTATGACCTAGGGAATCGGAACCTGACACTCATGAGCAACACTGGTTCTGGATTGGCTTGAATCGCCGTAGCCCTAGAGCCGGGGGAAGTTGGAGCTGGAGTGATGGTGTTGGAGTGAGTAGTGGATTTCATATTTGGAATATGCATGGAAAAGTCTAAATATTTAGAGAGTATATATCAGTTTGTTTATTTATTGAATCAGCTTTTTCAAAATTACAAATTGAGCTACAGGTTGTTGAATATAGCATTAATTTTGTCTGCTCAGACCAATTAATCAAAAAATTTACACTGAAAACAGAAAAATCTATCAACTTTATAATAAATCAAATAACATTCTCTCTATTCTGGATTTTGTACTCCAGTGCGTCAAACAAATTAAATGCCAATATGTATTTATATGAAAAAAATCTGAAAAGGCTTTGGGAATATAATACAGCAAGAGTATCTGTCTCTATTTTTCTGAATGTGAAAAATTCTCAATATCACCTGTTTCTACTTTTGGATTAATTATAATGGATTAAGATATGCCCATACTGAGGCAAGCTCTGCTTTCATATATAGTTGTTTATTTTCTGATTTGGTGAATAGTTTGAAAACTAGACTACTTTAATAATTTAAAGCACAAACATTGGAAAATATTTCATTTTTTAACCCCAAATGTTCTAATCTTTTGGAAAACTAAACATAATTTAGGAGACGAGAAAATAAGAGTGTGCTGGCAAGGATCAAGAGCAGCCTGTCTGAATATTTTTGTACCTGCAGCCAAACATGATCTGAGAGTTTTTCTCATGAAGCAGATCTTTTTGAAACTAATTGCTTCCCATTTAATTTTGGCCTTTAGTTTTCTTATCACAACTTTGACCGCAGTAATCATGATGATGATGACATCCGTAACTGTGTGGCCCTGGATTTGGCATCCTTGCAGTGGGTGCCTCTGCAATGTGAAATTAAACTGGACTGGATCTGCAAATTGCCCAAAGGTGACTGGGATTGTAATGAGGCAGGGAGGGAGCAGAACAAGGGAAGTGATGAGATTGTACAAAGCACAAAGTATTGGAGATAAGATTTGGACATGGTTTGCATTCTTAATTCCATTCTCAGTTTGGAGGATTGAATGCTTATGTACTTATGATACTATTAAGCATCTTTATCACAATTTTTGCTGTTTATTTCTTCATTTCTGTATGTCTTTAAATATGAGATTTTAAAGAGGATTTATTAATTATTTTTTAGTTAAGTGAAAAATGCCTATAGCAGTCAGTTAGTTTTGAGAATGTCCATTTAAGTAGACCATATGAATAATATAGTTACAGCTGTGTGCCTGAGACTGAGACCGTTTTGCCCCATTTGATTTACCAGGTTAACTTTTTTTGTTATGACTGACTTGAATTTTTAAAAATTCAGCATTATCCACTACACTTGCTTTTCTTTTTAATGCTGTATTATTATGGCAGTTATTGTCTAACTCACAAATTTATGTGAATAGCTCATTACTAATTGCTCTGAGTTTTGTCAATGAAGGACATAGAACATAACTATTTTTAATAAAAAGGGAAACATTCACTTGCTTTATGGGGGTTTTAAATAAAAAAATAACTATTGCTTTCTTGAAAAAACTTTGATATGCTTGATGGGGATATGATCTCTAATGAAGACTGGTCATTCATTCATTCATTCATTCATTCATTCATTCATTAGGGACTGAGGTGAAAGAACCAGAAACAACCATCCAAGGTGAGTACATCTAGTCCTATGTCTATATATCCTAATTTTGTTGCCCTCCCTCCTGTAAAGTTATATCCATTCCTTGATTTGTATACACAACAGATAACAAAGTTACTGCTTTTGTTGGATTTTGTGGTTAATATTATACTTTAGGAATTTTATGAACTATGGATGTCAAGACTTACATATATATGTTGTCCCTAATTCGGGTCTGAACCTGGTGCTGAGGCCGATGAAGAACACCAGACAGGAGGTGCAGGTTTTCTTTTCTCTTATTAAAGCACTTCAAGAAAAGGGATCCTGGCCAAAATGCCAAGGAACCTCAAACCACAGAATTAAGAAAGCTTTATTGATTTCCAATAAAGCAGAAGGCGGGATAAGGTGGGCTATATAAGAAATATATAATAAACATTTTAATAATGATCTAACAATTATTCTATTGGTCTCTAACTGTCCCTATTCCTAAGCCTTAGTTAATGAATGCTTCAGGAGTTATCTAATACAAATGTCCCCAACCTTTTGGGCACCAGGGACCGGTTCCATGGAGAAAGTTTTTTTTCACGGACAGGAAAGTGCGTGGTTTTATGTGCTGCCTGCATCCCAAGGATGGGGCTTTGCTTGTTTGTGCAGACTGGTTGCTGGCATGCCACGGTCAGGTACTTGTCCACGGACCGGGGGTTGGGGAACTCTGTTCTAATACACATTCTATTTGCTTCAGGCCATCTCTATTCCTAACTTTTAGCTAAACTATACAAGATACCTAACTCTTTGTTATTTTTATCAGCTTCTAACCACCCAGTATTGTTACAAGCTTTACATGTGCATATTCCCTGTGAATAAGCATTCTTTGTTTTTGCCAGACAAACTCCACAATTACAGGCTTCCTAGTCTTCTTTCAAGTGTATGCCATAACTTGGCTTTGTTTTGGCATCCAGACTATCATTCAGATGTGGTAGTGTCCCACATTATGTAGACAGTTGTAGATGGCAATATAGATTATTTTTTTAAGAAAAGAAATTATATTTTTTTTCCAGCAAGGGTCTTTGTTAATCAACTAAAACTAGAAAGGATGTGATATCTAGAAGTTGGGTGGACTTGCAGATGCCTAATATGTATGAAGCAGTTTTAAGAGACGTGCTATGTAGATTAAGTGCTCTGAGAAAGCGCAGATCCCTAAGTGCCAAGGGAAGGAGACAATATCAATGTCAACAAGGCCTTATCTCAAAAAGACAGACCAGGGCTTGGGGCAACAGAGGAAAAAGTTGATTAAAATGAAAGGGATGGCTTTTGTGGGCATACATATGAGCATATTATGATTATGGTTTCTGAAATCATATGTGATCTGGAAAAAACTGAAAAAGAAAAAAAAATGCCTGAAGTTGGACATAGCCTTTATTTTTATTGTATAATACTGATCTAATCCTGTGGCTCCAATATGTTATATTTAGCACAAATTCCATTTAATGTAAATGTTTATAGGAGTTGCAACTTCCAATGGTTCTTAAAACAATAAGAAAGTTAAGTGTGTTGAACCTCCTCTCTTATGGGTCAGGAAGTGATTTTTCTATTATGCATTTGATTTTGATTCAGAAACAAGTTATGTGTTGTAGATTGACCCAGCATGACATTTATTTTACTTGGTATGTTCTATCTTGTAGCTCTACCATGTAGGTTATATTTAATACATTTTATTGAGTGTGGATTACTGACCAGACTCAAAGAATTTGATTTGACATTTATTTTATCATGGGTGAGAAACATATTGCAATTGGAATCAAATTCCAGTCAGTCCCATTCACTGTGTACAATGGTGATAGATGAAGGGGATTGTACTCTAACAATATTTGGATGGCAAGAAATTTATGGTCAAGATATTGTGTTCATAAATATTATATTCTAATAATGTTCACCTATGTTAGTTTATGAACAGAAATTTGATACAATTTAGGTGAAACCTGTTCATTCACCAATACTTCAGGATTTTTAAGTCTTCTCTTAGAACAGGGGTCTTCAAACTTGGCCTTTTATGACTTGTGGACTTCAACTCCCAGAATTCTGGGATTGAAGTCCACAAGTCATAAAAGGGTCAAGTTTGAAGAGCCCTGTCTTAGAAGAACAAAAATAAAAATAAAAATTGAAAAGCTAAGTAAAAGGCATGATTCCCTCAGTGATTATTTGCTGCATCGTTGATTTTTGTACAGCTAAAAAACACTAAGACAGACCAGTTATTTTCTCACTTTGTCTGCAGGGAGTAATGAGTGGTTAAAGTTTCAGGATGCTGAATATAAATTCTTTGATCACCATTCAACTTGGGTGCAGGCTCAACGGATTTGCACATGGTTTCAAGCTGAGTTGGTGTCAATTCATAGTCAAACTGAATTGGATTTTTTGGGCCAAAACTTGAAGAAGGTAGGATACTATCTAAAATACTATGCGGGGATAAATTCATGTCAAATTGGTATTTTGTTGTGTTAGGGATTGTAGGAATGTTTCAAGATCAGTCAAAAGACATCTCCATATTTCCATCCATCCAAAACAACTCTTTTATGGAAAAAACAAAAATGAAAGAAGTAAGAAATACACAAGATTTATAAAAAGAACACAAAGTAGTTTTGATTTCCTCTAGAAAAAAAAAATCTATGGAGAATGGGCTGCCCCCGATAATAGTTCTATAGCCTATAACAGTGATGGCGAACCTTTTAGAGACCGAGTGCCCAAAAACTGGCCCTGCCCCTGCTCCACCCTCTGCCGTGCCCCTGTTCTGCCCCCACACCATCTCCCACCCCGCCTGCCCACAGGGCCACTCACCGCCTCCAGGGCCCGCCACAGATCGCCAAGGTAGCTCAGCAGCACCATGGTGGCCATGCCCTCTGCCCGTGCCCTGCAGCATCAACTGTGCGTGATGGGACGTGAGGGCAGAGTCTTGTCTACACTGCCTAGCTGCCATGTCCTGGGCTACGCTCAGGGGCGACTCCTCCAGGGGGGCTGCTGGTGAGGAGGGGGTCATGGGGGGAGGTGAGGCTGGGGCAATGGCACATGTGCCCACAGAGAGAGCTCCGAGTGCCGCCTCTGGCACCCGTGCCATAGGTTCGCCACCACTGGCCTATAACAAGAAGAGAGTGTTGATGATTGGTAGGAGAGAGGATGGGACAGTGGTCTGGAGGAAGACATCAAAAACAAAACTCTATTTATATCATAACTTAATTTTGCAAATTTGGACAGGTATTATATAATATTTTTATTACTATTTAATTATTAACAAAAAAGCAAAAAAGCAAAACACAAAAATAATAATTTTGAAATGCATATATTATTAAAGAGAAGAGAAAAAAAGACCATATAAATGTACTTTAACAAAAAAGTGAAAAATAGGACATAGAAACAAATAGTATATGTCATTGTAACAGTAAATTGTTGCAACTTCATATTTGTTTATTTTATGCAAACATTATTCAATGTACTTCTAATAAATTTATACAACTATCATTTTTATGTTATTCCATAAATATATTCTCTATAAATGAATGCTATATTTCATTTTTAAAAAATATATCTTATTGATTTTTTTAACATATTCACCTTAATATTTGGTAAATAGCGTGTTATCTGTGTTTACATTTAAAAACAATCCATAACAATTAATTTCTATAATTCCTTAATCCACACAGTAGCTTTCTTTGATTTTCTCTTCTTCCAATAATATTCTCTTTTTCCAAACTTAAATTAGTACATTTCTTAATATTTTGATAGATAATTGAATATAAACATTTTTCCAGTATTTAACAACCATATCAATATAAAGCTTCTTTTCTAAGTAATTGTCTTAATTACCTCATCATAAATCCTGTTTTCAAAGTTCTTATTTAGATTTGTTTTCCCCATAATGTTCAAAACATTCTTACCAGTTAAGATTTTCTCAGAGTTAATTACACTTATTAAATCTTTTCCCTCAAGCCATCCCAGCAGTTTTACATTTCTCATATCTTAAAAAGAAAAAAAGAAAAAAGAGAAAAAAAGAAGGAAATAATATACTACTTGAAAAACATATCCCTCTTAAGCTAAAATAAATTTGTATTCAAAATTTTCTATTCTTTTTAACCATATTCAAGTAAATGTTTAATCTTTAAATATTCCACCTAATAAATCCAATCATCTAATCTTTTGAATCTATTCAGAACATTCTTATCAACTGAAATTTTCTCAAGATCAATTACACTTAAATATCTAAAACCTTTCCCTCATATAAACCATCCCAACATTTTTATATTTCTCATATTATAAAAATAAATAAATAAAGTAAATTAAAAAAATATTGTGTTACTTGAGGGGCCTGTCCCTCTTAAACTAAAATACATTTAGATCTAGAATTTTTCTATTTTTTTAACCATCTTCAAACAAATGTTTAATCTTTAAATATTCCATCTGATAGGTCCCATCATCAAATTTCTTAATTCTAACTTTAGTCTTTTTTTTTTCCAAAATATCTTTCCTAATCAGTATGCTCCGCTAGACCAAAAAGTCTTCCCATAGTCTTGTAGATGTTGTCGTAGGTACAAGAGACAAATCCAGTAAAATGTTTTTGTGGGAGGGTTTCACCCCTTCGTATTCATTGAAAATCTTTTTCTTTCTTTCTTTCTCTTATCATTTTTTGTCTCTCAATTTCTCATAGTTCTCCTGACAGCTCTGTAATCCATTTTGTAAAAAAATTTTCTTATCCTCAGACTTATTTTGCAATCTTGAAGTGTAGGTTATCTTTTCCATGTCCAATATTTCCTGCAAGTTTTTCTCCGCCTGGGTTAAATCATAATTCCTTCCATTGTTGAGTTCCATCTTTAAATCTCTTTCCTCTGGTTTATATTCAGTTGTCTGCTTTATTTGATCGCTCTCTATTTTTATTTTCTGAGAGTTTTTTTGTTGTAAGGTTAAATTGAAGATGTGTTCATTTAAATTTTCAAAGTTGTTTTTAATTTCCTTGTGGTTTGAAATCATTGTCGTTTGAATTAGTTGCAACACAGCATACATTTCCTCCTGGAAGGTATTTGTTTTTTCTTGATATGTTCTTTCTGCACGTCTCTGATGTTCCATGATAGCCAAGAATCAAAGTTTTTGTTTCTCTGCAAACAGCTTTAAAGTCACAATTCTATAAGTATTTATAATCCAGGAAAGTCAATTTTGTTTCTAGTTCTTGCCTTGTAAATAGCCCAAAATGTTTTCTTTTTGTTGCAGCTGTTCTCTATTTAGTTAAGATGTCAAAGGTCACAAAAACAAGATATTTATTTATTTATTTATTTATTTATTTTATTAAATTTATATCCCGCCCTTCTCCTTGCGGACTCAGGGCGGCTGACAATCAATTAAAAATACACCAAAACAATTACAGAATTAAAATTAATTAAAAAGAAATATTTAAATATAGTCGAATTAAAATATGATTAAAACCCCTCTAAAAATTGCCCTAGGCCAGTCCCGCTTGTTGGAATAGCCATGTCTTAAGGGCGCGGCGGAAGGAAGGGAGATCAGGGATCACCCTGATCTCTGGGGGCAGCTCATTC